ACTGAATGAATGAATGAATGAATGAATGAATGAATGAATGAATGAATGAATGAATGAATGAATGAATGAATGAATGAATGAATGAATAAATAAATAAACCTGGCATTACTCTTTTTATGAAAAAAAAAAACCCCACACACACTAAATTATGTATTAAGGAAGAAAAATGAGAATAGGGCTGCAAAGCAGCCTGAAGAAAAGATTGAAAATTACGAACAGACGAAGTGGGGAATATATGGATAACAAATGGTGGGAATTTCACAGTTAGCGCTACTAAATTAGGATTGCGTTACACTTCGTGAACACTATAACAAAAGCAACAGCCAAAGCTTCTTCAACAGAGAATAATCATACCGACTGGAAACTTGAACAATGATCATTTCTCCGGACTTCATGCCACAGCAGAAAAGTAATTTAAAAACTGTTTACCAACACAACAATACAATGTGAAAAGATAGAGCGATTTCCAGTGAGTGTCGAATGTAATCAGGCAATTACTTTGGTTTTGGTTTTACTACGGCTTGAGATTGGCTGAGTAATCTAATTGGTAAGTAATGAGTTTGGTTTCGGTTTTACGACACTCAGTTGAAAACCACTGTATAACCCAACTTTTTCGTGACTTGATCCCCCCAAACGTTTGGTGCCCAACTGCTTTCATTACTTCATACCTCTGGGTCCAGGATCTCCATTTTCGCCGACCATGCCGTCCAATCCAACTGGGCCTGGACTTCCTGCCTCACCCCTTACGCCCTTAAGACCTTTGATTCCATCTGGTCCTCTGTTTCCTTTAGCGCCTTTTTCACCGTCTGCTCCAGGATCTCCACCAACTCCTGGATCACCTGGGAGCCCTGGCAAGCCTGGATCACCTGGATTTCCTGGTGTCCCTGCATTACCGGGGTCACCAGTATTCCCTGTGTTGCACAGAACAAAGCATGTCTAGTCATAAACAAGACAATTTATTTAAACGTTTATAGTTAACTAGCATCTGTTATGTCGCACAAAACAAAATATGCACAACGTTCATAATTCATCATTACATTGTCTGAGCAAGTACCATTAGGCCATAACGAACACCTGTTGAACACTTGTTGTAAGGTAGCCACATGCCACAGAATTGTGCTGTCTAAATTGGCCCTAGAAATCCAGACAATTAACTTGTCCACATCTACACCCAACTCTGTAACAATCATCATTTGCATGAAATCCAGACAAGTCTATCTTAGGTACCGATATGCGTTCTCCTCCTACACTGCAGCAATCATGTATTTGCTTAAAATCCAGACAGTCTTTAACAGGACTATGCACACCACGGTACCTGTGCAATAATGGGTGATATGCTTTAAGTCCACCCGAGACAGTCTTAAACTGGACTGTGCACACCACCTGTGCAATAATGGTTAATTTGCTTAAAATACAGACAAGACAGTCTTTCACAGGATTGTTCACACCACCTGTACCATGATGATTTGTTTTCTTAAATTTCATAGCTAGCTACATACCACGTTCGCCAGGAGGTCCTAGAGCTCCAGGTTCTCCTTCTCTGCCTGCATCGCCCGTGACGCCATTCAGTCCAGGCATACCAAACTTTCCAGGAACTCCAGGCTCTCCTGGGTCGCCACCTGGAATCACAACACCTTCTGCTGGGGGTGGCCCCGGGTCACCCTTCTGTCCCTTGACTCCAGGAACACCTACAAAAAGTAATTCAATCATAATTAATAAAAATAATAAATCAATACATTGATTCTGAAACACTTAAGACACCAATAGACTTGCCTTTTGCAAGGTCTATAGATCAACCGGAATGCATTATATAGGTAGTAATTTAGTTCATTCGTTCGTTTGTGCGTTCATTCGTTCATTCATTCAGTCAGTCATTTAATGTCAATAATACGGAGCGCGCTTGTGCAATCACCTGGGTCAGAGGTCCGTGTTTAAAGTGCTTGACAACACATATAATAAAATACTTGACGTAATCCAAGATGGAGCTAAAATGGTACACGAGGTGAACAATGAAATATCACCGCTTGGTAACACAGGGCAGCTAAGATTAGACTGAGTTCTCCGAACGTTAAACTCAACAAACGGTAAAATTCTGTTGTGGCATTAAGTCAACTTACCAGGTGGTCCAGGTTCACCAGGTGTGGTATTCCCAGGGGCGCCTTGGCTGCCAGCGTCACCAACAGGTCCGGGAAAGCCATCGAAGCCTGGCACCCCATCTACTCCGTTGCTCCCAGGCTTTCCTTTTTCACCTGGCAGGTCAGGTCCAGGATCACCAAAAGGACCTAGACACCAAAAGAAAAAGAAATCATGGGTGCACAGCAGGAGATAATATTTTGATGAAAATTGATCCTGTTAAAGGTATGTTATTGTCAGACAGATTCTAAATAGATTGTAGTATAGTTCCACTGTCTTGGAAAGCAATCTAAAAATGATTTACTGATGAACTCCAAGTTAATGAAGAAAAATAATCACATTTATTACATCTCTCAGACACTACGCGTGCTGTGATAGGTCAGTTAAGTGTGCCATCTTCTACTGTATGGCCCCTAAAATTTAAAGCTGATTTTGTTGCCAAAATACCGTAGAATTCCGAAAGTAACGGCCCCCGTTACTTTTGGATTTAGCAGGCAAAAGGGGCCGCTACTTTCGGGTAGCCGTTATTTACGGGTAGCCATAACTTTCGGATGGTTAATAACGTTTGCACAGTAATAGTCGTTTCAGACAAAGCGGACGTGTAACACAAGAAATCAAACGTTCCGTTTATGCATGTTTCCAACTACCCACATAAACAAAGCAGACTGCACAAACCAAAAGAAGGCTCTAAACCCGTTGGTACTATAGGTCGAAAGTATGATGATCGCATTATATCGCAATGAATTTATCATTTGACTCTGCCTCTAGACAAATACAGCTTATAAATCATAGTTTCATTAAAATTTTAGTCAAGTTCGAAATAATATCACAGATAACACTCTTCAAGTCTATGTTCAGTCCTGCATTCAGGCTGTTCCGCGGCATGATCCACGCTTGAGAACAGAGACTTTCTCTTTTAGTGASTTCTTCAAAGGGCCGCTACTGCTACTTTCGGGGGAACCGTTACTTTCGGGGAGCCGTCGTTTATTAATTTTTTTTTTGGGGGGGGGGGCGTTACTTTCGGAATTCTACGGTACGGAATTAAAGTAACCACAATGGAGACACTAAAGACAAAATTGTTTAAACAGTGAATTTATATTGTACCTTGAAATCTCTCAATACTCTAACGGCATTTAATTTGTTTACCTCTGCCAAAACTATCCCAAAACTAAATATGAAACGAAATGGAAATTTCAAATATAAATTTTAATAATTAACTGTCATGGTTTATGTTCTCCACACGACATCAAATTTGGTCATTTTATAATGTTGTTTGCAGAGGATAACAAAGAAATGTACCAAGAATTATAACACACATGTACAGCCATTGTACTCCACACTGAAACTTTTGTTTTTCGACGTTCGTATTGCCGTTGCAGTTGTGATTTTCTTAAACTCGACCCCTATGTTGTGATTTATTGCCAAGTGTTCTCAACTTTCATAGCAAGCAAATGTTTAAAATTTTCACTTACATTAAATTATGTATTAGGACGTGCTTACAACTTACAACGATTTCCAATTGGCTTATTTTGCTATTGACGTGCGTCAATCATTTCAAGCTGTTCCGAATAGAAATTGTTTCCCGAACTCGTAAGATACAAACAGCAGAGATATAATAAATATTATATTAACCAAACTATGAATTAATTTGCAGAGTTTGCAAAGTTACCAAATAATTGTGTACGCGCTTGCACAGGATTTTAAGCTGACAAATAGACAATATAGTTATTATTTCAAAATACAACAAAATACACCCTATCAGACACAAAAAAAAAAATTTGAAAAGCACCTTGGATGCCCGGATCTCCAGGAAAACCAATTACACCCTTTGATCCTGGCAAACCACGAACGCCATCATCACCATCCATTCCTGGAATTCCGCTAAGTCCAATAGGACCAGCATCACCTTGAAGAGAATAAAATTAATTGTCATTCATTAGTAAAAATCTACTGGCATTCTATCACCTTGAAGAGAATAAATTATCATTCATTAGTAACTATCACAAATGCCGGCCATTTCCTTATTAGCTGTGCTACTCTCTATCAATTCTGTTGCAGATACTGAGTAGCGTAGCAGTGTGCCCTTGTTAACAAAATGACGGCCGCCTCTTTACGTTTTCGAAGTGTCTGTGAAGAGGATTGACATAAAGTTTTGAACGACTAGCAGATTTATACTGAAACAATTAGATATTCACTCTCAGTTTTTATGAGTAGTAAACAGTTGACGAGTGTGCAGCTCGATTCAACTATTAAGCAATTAGATTATGAGCTCAAGATTTCTATCGCGTGATTACATTGCTCGCTCTCGATTTCTATCCATGATAGTTGACTTGGGCTGCGCCCTCGTCAACTATCAAGGATAGAAATCGAGAGCGAATAATCTAATTGTTTTAGTATAAATCTACTAGTCGTTCAAAACGTTATCTAAATCCTCTTCACAGACACCTCGAAAACGCAAAGAAGCGGCCGTCATATTGTTAAAAAACGCACACTGCTACGCTACTCACTATCTATCACAGAATAGATAGTGAGTAGCATAGCCAATCAGAGAACGGCATTAGTGATAGGGTTGTCGTTCTTAATTAACCCGTTTTTGTGTGTGTGTGTGTGTGTGTGTGTGCGTGTGTGTGGCATGACGCGACTTAGATCTTGTTTCGTTGTTGTTGTTGGCATGATGGGACCTATTTTTCTGGGATGCTAGTTCCTTATAAGTTATCCTTTAGCATGATTGCTGTAATAATTGTGTGGGACATTAATAATAACATTCATAATCTTGAGTGGAGAGAGGCGCTGTCTAAGTATATAGTGTCTTGTCCAAGAACAAAACCCACTAATCCTGCCAGAGTCCAGTTTGTTCGATAATAACTAACCAGCGCTGTGTCCCCTCGCCTAATGACACAATAAAGGGAAACATAAACACGGGAGCACATTCAGTTAGTACCTGGATCACCATTGGCTCCAGTCTCTCCACGAGGTCCAAGTGGTCCTATAGGCCCTGCATCTCCCGTGTCTCCTGTAAACCCAGCTGCTCCTTGGAAGCCGTCATCCCCCTTAAGCCCGTCAAGTCCATTCAAACCTGGTTCTCCGGGGGGGCCTGGGTCACCAGGATCACCTCTGACTCCTTTTGAGCCTGGTGTTGCTTCACCTGAAAATGACAACACAACACGACTGCTGTGACAACATTGTTTGCGTCAATTTTGCAGTGAAGAATCAGGACACATACAAGCTGTAATGTCCAGTTTGGTGCCATTGTTGATCTCTACAGAACAATAGTGTTATTCTCCTAATTTTGATTCCTATAACACTGATTGTTATGATGATTGTTATACATTGAATTATTCGGCTTCAGCTGATAACCCCTACCTCGACCTGGATTATTCTGGATATCACAAAAACCTCATCCAATAATTGTTAAACATATGTGAGAAGTAAATGGTAGTTCAAAATAATATCTCCTATGTTAATTGTCACACTATTGTTATAAAATAGTACACATCATTGTTGAGTCACATTTTGCCAGCAAACCATAAAGTAAAACTGAGCAAAAAGTGTTAAAGGGTAAGTGTCTTAATACAGAATATAGCTGGAATTAACTGTATACCTACAACTTAGGGTAAGAAGAATCATCCAAGGGATACAAACAATATCAAAGAGGGCTGAAAATGTCCGAAGCCCACTTTCAAATTTCAAGTCATAAAAGCAAACTAACCACAAGGAGGATACGTTATGCTGTATAATTATAAGGATATACAGAATCCCAAGAGGACTTAAAAAAGTTCAAGCTTAACAAATGTTTTATCCTGTCTCATCCTCCCTAATCAAAAGACCTATGCCTGGGCTGCCTCGTGTAAGTTGTTTAATGCAAAGAAATCCACTGCCAAACCAAACAAGCATAATGCAAGCGTAACGCTAGATTAAGTAGACAGGATACGTTTTCACTTTCGTTAATTTTACGAATAAAATTCAATCTGCCTCCATCTGGCCTAATTCGACTCTTACTGGAAATTAATTTCATAGGTTTACACCTGTTTGCTTGCTCTCAAAAAGTGCAAATTATATGATAGTTTTTAATTGGCTCATTGTAATCCCTGGATTTTTCCTGTCTTTGGGTTACATTTCGCAAAATATGCGCTTTTAGAGGTTAGTTTTTAATCCAGTCATTGTCATCTTTAGATTTTTCTGCATCACTGAAACCCGTCACTTCAACGTTTTAAGCCTGTTATTTGTTGTCAAATTTGGTTTAAACACAAGCGAGTTGCGTGAACCGAGGGCTCGGACGCTAACAAAATAAAATGCTAAAAACAGCTTGTCACAAATAGCTACAACAGCTTGTGTCTTCAAGGTCTACATCCCAGTCCCCGTGAAAAATAGTGACTCGAATCTGTAGAGCAGGGTTGAAACTTGCATTTCCAAAATAAATAGCAAAATCAATTGCAAAATCAATAGCACCAAACGTCAATTCATCGGCGGTTGTATCCCTGTCTTTTATAGATCTTTATAGTCAAAACTGATTAACCCTCAAATTGCCAGAACCGCCCTTTACAGGTATCTCACATTAGGAACGCAAAGAACGGTTACACAAGAATGTCTTATACAGGAATGCACCAAAGTCATATCCATATCCTCGTTGCCTGGTGTCCGTGTCCACATGACTTTGGTCACGTGGACATGAGGCAAAACCTGGAAATGACAGAGCTTCCAATTCCCTGTCTGAGATGTGCCTATAGGGAGTCATGGTAGTTGTATTCATCATCTTAGACCGGATATTCGTTTTGATGAATGCGATTACCATGATTCCCTGCAGGCGCATTTCATAGGGGGAATTGACCATTTGATCACTGAAGATTTCTAACACTGCAACACTTAAATACTCCAATTTGTGGAGTTTTTTAATGTAAAAGTAACCTTTGGTTAGTACGGACCAAGAGCAGGTAACATTTTTGCTAATGGTCAACCACTGGTCAACATTATTCTATAATTTAGCCATTGAATGTTACCATAAATCAACCAATAGGAATTTGCATTAGATTCAACTAAACAACAGCTGTATAACATGGTTCTTTACTGAGTGACGTTCCTACCTGGTGGTCCTTCATCGCCTTTAAATCCTTTATCTCCCACCATGCCTTTAGGGCCTGGAGGTCCTGTCTGACCAGCTGGACCTGTCGGACCTTGGTTGCCGAACATCCCAGGGAGACCCTCAACACCGACAATCCCTGGGATTCCTTTAAAACCTTTAGGTCCGTCCCTGCCGGGTTCACCTACCGGTCCTAAAGAAAAAAAGTACAACTGGGCTGCAGTCATCAGGGTGTCATCATACTCAAAAACAATGATCCTATCTTACACATTGGAGTAAACTACAATTGATTATTAGCGTTGTACAGTTGTACACTTTCTCACATCAATAATAAAATTCTCATATGATACTCATTGTATAATAGAGTAGTACTTCCCAGTAGAATTGTTCGAGTAGTCACAGTTATAATCTACTCAATTATATGGTCCTAATATCATTATACCAAAACGTTTTAACAATAATATGACCCCCTGAATGAAGAGATAAAATTTCATTGACACAACAATGATAATGACAGCAAATAAACAACCACAACATTGCTGGGTTGTAAAAGCGTTATTGAGCCCATATATTCTTCAAAATATTTGGGGATTCTAAATCTAAATTAATCAGAAAGATTTCCCTGAACAACAAGCTCCAAGTAAAGTAAAATCTTTTTTCTCGGTCTGCCAAATTTTATGGAATTTCACCAAAGGAAATGCGAGAACATTCACTGGCAACCCATGCATTTTCCTTGGAAACTAAAGAGAGCCACCTTAAGATGCTGGCTGGAAGACCACTCTAAATTTGTGTGTGTGTTTTACTTGTGATCTCTAAGCTCTCTTCTTGCATTCTGCTGAAATCTGCAGAGTAAAGTCAGAGAGGGAGAAAGAAATCAGGGAGTTCAGTAACATACATACCTCTGCAGCTCTTTTCTACTGTGGTCCTGACCAGTCCTAGAAGTTCATCAAAAGTTTTTGGGGTCAAAATGTCTTCCGGGCTATCTACTAATGTAGACAGCTGATTCCTATCAACACTCCCAATACCAATTGCAATTACTTTCACTCCCAGATCTTTGATTGGTTGAACAGCATCAACAAGGGGTGTTTGATCAGGAGCAATATCAGTTCCTGTTTGATTACCATCTGTTAGCAGGACCATGACCTAAGAGGTGGGAGACAAATCATGATACCATAAACATTCGAAGATATTAATTAGCTCCTTTAACTTCAGGTAGAAACTAATCCTGTCCATAACTGAAGTCCCCGAGGAAAAGCAAGCTCAGTTAAACAGCATTTGACTTGTTTTACTTGTATCATTGGACATCCCCACTAGAAATTCAGTCTTGAATTTATTCAGTCCACTATAAATTCAATCTTGATCAGATCAGATCAGATCAGATCAGATCAAATCAAATCAAGACTTTATTTATCCATGGTAAAGATTAAAGCTATATGCTTATGGGGCCGTGCACTAAAATAAAAGAAAAAATAATCAACACTGTAACCTACTATTACTACAATTAATTCAAAAATATGTTTTTAAAAAATCATACAATTAAACCTTCTATCTACAATTACTAAATCCTCTTTTTACCGTTCCCAACCTCCCCCTAATCTTAACTCTCCTGGGAGTCTCATCACAAGATTATATTCTGGTTGCTATTTAAGTTCGCTTCCCCTGGGAGTTTGAGACCTCATGGTTCTGCTGTAGGTTTAGCTCTTCTGAAAAGGGAGGTATAAGGTTCTTGGTGAACTAGTAACGAGGAGTATAATAAAAGGTTCAATTAATCACCACACTAGTATAAATTAGCACTACTATGGGAGTTCTATTTTATGGACATCTTGATAAACATCACATTCTCCTCATTCAAATAACAAATTGGTGTCAGTTTTTCATGTGTCTGTCCTGTTATTGATCATGAATTTTCTGATAACATTATCAAAGTAGCTGTGGATTGACAATGAATTTGACAACGCTATGATGAAAGTCGTTGTCAAAAACAGGACAGATACGTGAAACACTTGCGTCAATTTGGCGAAAAACTGGTGTCATTGTTTGCTCTCGCTCATTGCATAAATGATAGATTTGTGTCTGTCCACTGACAATAAAAATTAGCCAATCAGTGTGAGAATTTCTGCAGTTGCTGTAAAAATAACGTTTTATTATATGGCAAGCTCACTATTTTGGCTCAAAATAGTTTCCAGCACTTAGATTTTGATGGGTCGTTATAACCACTCGTTATCACTTGATGCTACAATCATGGTATCGAAAAACTGCTCAATCGTTGGTGAACACATTGTTATCATTTTCATGACACAATAGGTTACCATAGCAACAGTATGACCTGCTAAAAACACCCTTAATTACAGCTTTAGGGGCTTATAATCAAATTTGATAAGCATGATAAGACACAAATTTTGGCAAAGTTTAAAAAAATTCTGTACAAAGGGTTCAGAGCCACCTTAACTTTGAAAATTTAAGGTGGCTCTGAACCCTTTGTACAGAATTTTTTCAAATTTTGCCAAAAATTGCGTCTTATCACGCTCATCAAAATTTGATAATATAACAAGATTTCACAGTGTCNCCTGGGAGTCTCATCACAAGATTATATTCTGGTTGCTATTTAAGTTCGCTTCCCCTGGGAGTTTGAGACCTCATGGTTCTGCTGTAGGTTTAGCTCTTCTGAAAAGGGAGGTATAAGGTTCTTGGTGAACTAGTAACGAGGAGTATAATAAAAGGTTCAATTAATCACCACACTAGTATAAATTAGCACTACTATGGGAGTTCTATTTTATGGACATCTTGATAAACATCACATTCTCCTCATTCAAATAACAAATTGGTGTCAGTTTTTCATGTGTCTGTCCTGTTATTGATCATGAATTTTCTGATAACTTTGAAAATTTAAGGTGGCTCTGAACCCTTTGTACAGAATTTTTTCAAATTTTGCCAAAAATTGCGTCTTATCACGCTCATCAAAATTTGATAATATAACAAGATTTCACAGTGTCGTTTTAGAATTATCAGCCCATGAAGCTGTAATTAAGGGCGTTTTTAGCAGGTCGTACTGTTGCTATGCTAACCTATTCTGTCACGAAAATGATAACAATGTGTAATCAGCAATGATTAGGCAATTTTTTGGATACCACGATTGTAGAATCAAGTGATTACAAGTGGTTATAATGACCCATCAAAATTTAAGTGCCGGAAACTGTTTTGAGCCACGTTAAGCTGGCAAGATGAACCAAATCCTGTGCTGGGAAGATGGCACTATCTTGCCTGCTCGGGATTAGGTGCTATGCCCTGCCAGAAAACTTTCCCCAAAGTCGAAGTAGGTTCCCATAAAGTAAATCCGCCATTGACCACCCCTTGTTTGATCAAGGTGACTTGAAATTGGCCTCATGTTTTTGCATGCTTTTGGACTTGACTCCATAAGTTCCAAATCTGCCACCTTGAGTAATAACTAAATCTATACTGCATACTTTTGAATAGTCAAATAAACAGTTAAATAGTTGAAACACAAAATAATTTGAAATTTGGAAGGAATGGTAATTTCACTTGACAAGGCTCCAAACAGAATAACTGTAAAACAACACTGTTGAAACACATTACCATACAGTAGGTAATAATTGAGATCTGACCTTTAGTAACATACTTTACCTTTCTAGAATTTTGTCTCATTCCGCCTTCTTCTGTAAATAATTCTTCAGAGGCAACCTTTAGGGCCAAATCAATTCGCGTAATACCAGCTGTATGAGGTACATCATCCACACGCTTTTTTATCTCTTCTTTGTCGTAGGATGTGTTAAAGCTAATCTGCATTTTGGCACTTCCGCTGTATTCAATGAGGCCAACATGAGTAAGGGCACGGCCAATACTGAGATAGTCAACTACTCCGTTAATAAATTGTTTCAATTTAGCAAACTCGTCTGAGAGAATACTACCAGATGCATCCACAAGGAATGAATAATCAGCATTTTCTTGACCACACACTAAGAATGAAAAGAAAATAGAAATTATCTCAACATTTAAGAAACATCAGACATTTGGCCATGTAAAGTGGCTACCATGCAGATTAAATACCTCTTACTAACCGAGTTTGAAGGCCGTACTGTAAGTTACGGACCGAGTTTTTCCCCATCGATTTATGGCCCAAACAAAGCGCGCGGGCCATAAATTGACGGGGTAAAACGAGGATCCGTAACTTACAGTACGGACTGAGAAAACGTGGTTAGTAAGACATATATTATATCTCTACTGTGTGTCTGACAGCTCGGCTGTTCACGTGGAACAGCTTCAAATTTCTGACGCACCTCGAAAGCAAAGCAACTCAATTTGAACTGACCGTTTGAAATCGTTAGTAGGTATTAATACACAATTTTGTTCTTTTACTTGCTAAAGAAGTTAAGAACACTTGCAATTGTCGATAAACCATGAAACATTTTGGCAACAAAAACAGCTTCAAATTTTAGCGGGCTGTACAGTAGATTACGGCCCGTTAAATTGACCAATCACAGCATGTGTACTAACTGAGATATAATAAGAATGTTTACGTAATCCTGAAAGAATTTTCCTAAGGAGAGTCACATGTAAATGGTTCTGCAATATCACAAAAGGTCGATAACCTTACTGTTTTATTAATCTACAAAATAAAATGTGAAATAGCCAGACGATTTTGTGCATTTTTCTTCTGCAATAGGCCTTTTTGCAACAGTTGGTAATGTGACTGATTATATCTAAACTTTGAGCTACAGCTAAAGGAATTTCAGAACTGGAAAGAGCCAGAACACCAATTTTCAGACCAATGCCATGTAAGGTTGACATTTAATCACAATTTGAATATTGCAAAAATTAGAAGGTTTTGTATGGACGCAAGGAAGCTTTGCCCTTCAGAAACATTTTATGTTATTAATCACTACAAAAGGAAGCTGCTGGCAAATAACTACAGTGGAACCCCGCCTTACGACCACCCTGTTATTACGGCCACTTTATTCTGGCCCAAAAAAAGCTCAGTCAGTCATTTTCTTATTTAAAGAACCCCTTTAATACGACCACCCTGTTAATACGACCAATTTTCCATGGCCCGAAGGTGTTCGTATTAACGTGGTTCCACTGTATAGGGGATAGAAAGAGAGGAAAAATACTAGCAACAATGAAAAATTCTAGATTCTTAAACTGAAAGGAACAGACAGTAGGTCAATGATGATTGTAATGTCTTATGGTTACATTTACCACTACATATGAAGATAATAATTGGTATCACTCACAAATTACTCCTGTCTGGCCTTTCTCGCCCTGCGGTCCAGCAGCACCTGTGTTGCCAACAGGCCCAACATCACCTGTTCGTCCAGGTGGTCCAACCGGGCCAGGGCTTCCACTGCTTCCTTTTTTGCCTTGTACTCCAGGTTCTCCTTTCTCACCTGAAAACGGTTTAATTCAAATTTCAGAAGATAAAAATGCTGCCAGGCAGAGTAACTCAAGCACAAAACAGTCTCCCTTGTATACATGGTATGATTTATCTACTTTACCATTTTGTCCTAATTCAGTTGACAAAGAAATTTGCCTACTTAATTTTGGTAGTCAACATGGCTAGTACCTAAGGGAATTTCACCAGCCAAAACTGAAAATCAAGTGGTATTTGGCTAGTAGACCACTGCCAAGGTCGAGCCCAGCTAACCCCACTGACACATTACCCTTACCCTGTAGGATACCTTGGGAGGTGAGCTGTGGCTTAGTTACCATGGTGACCTCCTTGCTGCTGCGGGGATTGTTGCTATCCTTTGTCTCTACCTTAACAGTACCTACCCTCCAAGACTTCAAATTGGGTTTGAGTTTTAAGGGGGCATTGTCCTTATGTCAGGTAATAAGTCTATTTACTAAGCTTGCCTACTGTAACTATCAGTCTTTGTGCTGTTTAAGTGTTCTTGTTCTGGAAATTAGTTAACATCCAGTTCAAAGATGCTGTACCATACCAGGGGTAACCTCAATGTACAAAATACCTTTTGTTGGGACACCTGGTAGTCCCATGACCCCAGGGTCTCCTGGGGGCCCACTTATACTGTCACCAGGTTCTCCTTTCCGTCCCCGTGGACCCTTAAAGCCAGGGGGTCCTGGCAGTCCAGTGCCATTTGCTGGTAATCCTTTTGGACCTAGTGATCCACCTTCTCCTGGACCACCTGGCACACCAGGCAATCCAACAGTGCCAGGTTCACCTTTGATCCCTGATGAAACAGATTGAACATGTTCATACCTCAGCAACAACCATTATAACAAATTGGAATAGTTTTATAAGAAATTAATGCATGCTTGATGTATAGAAATGCCAGTAGACATATGTTAGTGTCTTCAGGTGCATTTTTAGACCTCAAAAGTATATAACTTTGTTATAGAACAACACAACAAAAAGTCCATTTAAGAGCACAAAACAAATACCAAAATACTGTTACTTATGGCTGTTGTGTCCACTAAGGTGGCTGACAAAAGTTTCTGGCACTTTCCAGCAGTTACACTTGGATGGATAATACCACCACTCTTAATGAGGAGATGTTACAAATTATTAGTACTGCACAAATGCTCAATCATTAGTGATTTATCTTTATGGCATACTACTGTAGGCTACCATGGGGATAGTACATGTTAAAAACATCCTTAATTTGGCTTCAACTCAAAACTGGCACTCAAAGCTAAAACTTATGGTGTTTCTACCTGGTAATAGGTTTTACTGTTGCTATGGTTAACTAGCTATAATGCCATGAAGATGGCCACAACTCGTTCGGCAACAATGGGGCTTTTTTTTTTGTAACTGCCAAAAACTGTTGTCAAGTTAGGAATGCACATAGTGGTTAACCCTCCCTCATGCAAGAATTTCCACTATGCCATTGATTAGGGGTGTGTGGATTTTTCTGATTTACAACCAGTGGATAAAACAAATGTAAATAAAACACCTTTGCGTCCTTTAAGTCCATCTTCTCCCTTTGTTCCATTTGGTCCATCTCTGCTGTCACCTGCTTCTCCCTCCATGCCCTGTGCTCCTTTATCTCCTGGTGGGCCCTGGAGGCCTATCACGCCTTGATCACCCATATCACCAACAGCACCTCTAGAGCCATTCCGTCCTTTTATACCTGTGAGTATACGAGATTAACAATCCAACAGTGACACATTACCCAAAGAATGACACATCAGACAGATTGATAGAGCAGTCAGTGTGACACAGCAAACATAGACTGATACATCAGAAATAAGGTGACATGACTACAATGTTGGACATTAACTCTTTGTTGACGGGAGGTTTTCATTAATAATTAACCCATCATATTCTTTAGCTAATATTTCTACAGGTATTTACAGTACTGTAGCCTGTAATATCTCATTTGAAAGGGCATAAAATATACTTTATAGAAAAAAAAAACATTTACCTTCATGGAAGCTAACATTACCTTGATGATAATTTTTTTTGCAAACCATAGAATTAAATATAAAAGCTAAAAAATGGTTGAAAAACCAAAAATATTGTTAGAACACTATTTTCAGAATTAGTGTCAAAAGAGAGTATTTTCCCTGATCTATAACCAAATGTATCCTGAAAACCGAATTAAAAACGACCTGATCTTAAATTAACCACGATTTTTTTCTGGACGTAAACAAGCATATTGCATTTCCATTACTATGGAAACCCCCAGTCAGTCTCATGTTACGCGTCCCTGAATCAATATTCATTTTACAACAAAAAGTCAACTAAGCAAAGCCTTTATTCAAGATTTCTGAGCTCTCCACTTTCAATAACGATTGACATGAACATTATTTAATCATTAGCCAAGATTCTTAAGGTAAAAACGGCAAACCAAAGGGAATTTAGTTCCATTTGAACAACATGTGCTAAAATGGGTGACCGCGAGAGAAGACTCACGTAAGTTTGTTTACCTCAATTTTTCGCTTCTAATTTCCAGATTACTGTAAAAATTACTTTCTAATTACTTGAAATACCCTTCGGAACGTCATCCTGGTCAAAAACCATCATCAGAATCTTTGCAAATCATTTTAAGCTCGCCCGATTCAACTCCGCCATCGTGACATGAATTTGCCTGATGTTTGAATAATTGTCATGTAGACCACATTCAACTGTCTCACCCAAAAATCGCCCAGTGATTGGGTAATTATGTCAGCTTCCTGTTGTCCAAATTTGGCGTCGAACGGAAGTAACGCAAATTTTTGGCGATTTTTTTCTCTTATGGGTACATGCACGTACCCATAATAATAGCATTTGTTGATGAAGAGTTGATTGACACCACACTTATAGATTGATAAGTCAGAAATTGACTCTTGACACAAGGCGAGACATTAGAGTTTGATTGACAAATCAGACATATTGACACTTAAGACACAAATTCAAACATTTTATCATGCTTTCAACCTGTTATCTCTGATTCATTGATTTTTTAACCTCGGCACCTAAACTAGGATTTACACCTCTGAGTGGTACCCATGTACCACGTACCAAGTAGAAATGTAAATTTTAAGTCATTTTAAATTATCTTTTAGTAGCTTTTGAGTCCTAACGATGTATTTTTAATAATTTTAGATTTTAGTTTCTAGGTATATATTTTATGGCAGGTCCACACNTCTTTGTGTCCACAGGGACCTTTGGGTATAATTAACAATTGAGGTAAGGTAGTCCCCAGCTCACACTGTCATAGTAACTTAAAAGCTGGTTTGTTGCATGACTCAAGGATGCTACACAGCCATACGATGTAATTACAACTGAGTTTCACATGAGTATCTTTTATCTATTTTACACTTCTGGAAGAGAAGCTCTGAGCGAGAGTGGTGAGCAACCACAGGGACAACTCAATCCAGATTTAAATTAGTGCGATCAACCACCAAGCCTAAAGCTTGACACCTTGCATAATAATAAAAAAAATGCGTAATCATTACTCAGCGGTAAGGCAGCTACCTTTTGGACCTGCAGGACCGGCGGGTCCTTGTGCATCATCTCCTGGGAGCCCTTTGGGTCCATCAGGCCCAGGTAAGCCACGTTCTCCTTTTCCACCAATAGCACCTGTGTTGCCCTTCAGTCCTTCTACACCAGGCTTGCCTTTGTCGCCAATTTTTAATTGACCTGTGATAACAACGACAAAAACAGCATATATACATGTATGGAAAGCTCTCTGCTAGGGAACCTGCTGTTATCTCCTAAGAGTGCCAAAATACACATTAATTAGATCAAATTTTGATCTATCAAAAGATTACCACAGCGCCAAATAGAGGTACGAACAGCAACATTTATCATGGAAATTCTGCTCAATAGCTTTTAGTAAATTAGGCTTTTTGTGAACTCTTTAACTTGATAGGGGAGTGTTTGCTGATGTCATCTTTTACATTTTATATCAATAGCATTCCACTTTGCTAATCAATAATTGACTCCAGAAGTGTAGAGAGCCTGTTTAACATAGTAACTAGAGAAATGCTTAGCTCTTTGGATTTTGCAGTGAGTGCTAATGAGTCCATATATTTTCGGAGAATTTAGACGTTTTAAGTTTGTGTTATACAAATTCTATAACTTGCAAAGGGCTCAAATATCTTGGAAAAGTTAATCATGCTAAGCCCTTTTAACATTCTGAGCCGATATCATTGCACATGCAGCTCTACCTGAACTGAAGTACTAATGCTAATTAGGTAAAAATTGTAAACAAAAATTCCCCTATAAACATCACAAATGAGCTGTACTAAAATGAAAAGTGAATGATAGCTGCAAAAATTAAACCCATAAGGAGTTTGGAACATGTAACATGCGTTCACAAATTTTGAATGTTCATACCTAAATTTCCAATACCCCCTGTTGATCCTTTTGCTCCCTTGGCTCCATCAGTTCCTCTTTCACCCTTCTGACCTTTTGAACCATTTTTGGCCATTTCGGGGATTGGCAAGATAGGAGGTTGTCCCTTTTGGCCATCTGCACCTTTATTGCCACGCACACCAGGATCCCCATCAACTCCAGGAGAACCATCTTCTCCCTACGAAAACAATTTAATATTTAAGGACATTCAGGCAATGATAATTGATATTATTTTAACAAAGAGATTCCATGTTGCTGTGCATCTCAGTGTTCAGTACTAGTAACAAATCACATTTTGATGTCTTATTGAACAAACACATGACAACGTGGAATCTACTCCTTTTATATACTAAAGAAAGAAAAAAGAATGTTAAAAATGTCATCAGTGCATCTGTCCTCCAATAGATCGTAAGTAAGAACCATCAAAATACAAGAATAATTTGACCTATTATATAAAGTTAAATAGATTTGTATGACAGTTAGCTATAGCAAAGCCATAGTATCAAAACTCGGTATTCATAAACATGCGTCATAATCCAGTGATGCACGCTCATGGTGTGAGCAAAGTTAACTTTGCTTTGTGAGAAAGTTTTTCCAATGCCAATGCTAAAATAAACAATGATGTTAAGAAGTGGTCTAATTAAATAGAGGAGTTATGATGTACGCCCCCCCCACCCCTCCAGTACATGGGAAGTTGGCTGCACCTTGAGCAACTCTTATGCTTCTTTTCTACTTTCAAAACTGTGTCCATGCATCTTAACTCAAAAATGTAGACCAAGGCAAGAATCAATAATTGTTAATTAATTAATAAAATTGTTAATAAGTTAATAAATATTGCTAATTTTCAAACTTCCTCTGTGGCCAGATGACTAGTTAATTACTCGTCAGAATGCAAGAGAAATTCTAATGTGGAGAATGTTTTGTGACTGTAGCGTGACAAGTTGTCATACTAATGAAAACTCGTGACTATTGTTTTGTTTCTAAGCCACTGAGCTATTTTGATTTCATCTCTAGTTTCAAATCATGTGATATCTTGTTTCCAGCATGAAATCCATGATCAATTGAATCAATTGTTGTAATCTTTGGGGTGAATTCGGGCTGATCAGTGGAATAAACAGCAACTTGTGAATATTGAGTGAGTCTTCAGTGTCTCTGGGAATGAATTGGATACATAAGGAAATTCCCCACACTAACATAGCTAGCAAAGCCACGATGCCAAACTCAGCATACATCAGGGTGTATGATAATTCAATAATGATGCTTGTGGTGTGAGTGGATTGGTTTTGTATTTTATTTTTCTCGTCTTAATTATACAAATATTAAGGTGCGTTTCTTTGGGGTGATCTGGATCAGGATCAGTGATCCAAGATCAGTCTGGATTATGGTACATCAAAGGAACCGATGATTACTACTAATAAGCTAGTTAATGATGTTATTCCTTACGAAAGTAAGTTAAAACCAGAGCTTTAAATCAAATACAAACAACTTGTGATGGTGTTACTAGGGGAACACTGCCTTGCGTTTGGTTAACCTATGCGACCTCTGGCGATAGCGTGACAAACAACCTCACATATCTCCCCAGCACTACAAGCTGAATGGCAGACAGCAGATGCTGGATCAGACAAGAGTATCGGTTAGCAAGCGACATTCAAAGGTGATGAAAAGACAACAAGCTTGGGGGGAGTCACTGCACAGACTTAACTGCACCATTCAGGAGAGACCTTTTGTTTATTATGCAGGAATACATGACCAACCTTGTCTCCAAAGGAAGGGAGGGAGGGAAAATTTAATGATAGACTTACAATTTAAGTAATAGCTATGTTGCTTAGACGAACTGCAAATAGACTCTGAACAGTTGTTTGAGCTTTTATATGTAGGCATTCATCTGCTGGTAAGCCAGTAGAAAAGGCTGTACTACTGAGCAGCTTACCCTAGCACATGTAACATCTTTAAGATGAATAGCGCTTTAATGCTTTGCACCAATGCTATGGTTCGTTATAACGTTCTGAAGGTAACAAAGCTACAATGTTTAAGGTCTAGCTACAATAAAGCTTACAGTTTGCTGACCTTTGGAATACAACTGCTCAATAGCTCTATAGAAAGCGATGCCACCATGAACGGCTCATTGAGAACGTACCTCATGCTCCATTAACTATATTTTACTGGCGTGACAGTAAAATCTCATTAAACATACCTGAGGAAAAGCAATTTCTTACCGACATATTTTTGTTGTTTTACAGTACATTTTAATGCAATGTGTGGGGTACATGTATGTCTAGTTTCACTTAGATGGTTATTTTCCTCCATTTCCTCTCTAATCAATGTATTTTACACAATGAGTGACAAAAGTAGTTGAGATACTTAAAAAATGATGCTTTTTGATATTTTAACCCCTTATTCTATTTTATTTGCATCTTAAGCGTTAATCGCCTGATACCCCTGGCCGCCCAATTCAATGTTGTGTAGGTGCTGTGGTCTGTGCAGTCTTAGAAATAGAAAAATCAACACTGCTTGGGGGAAGGGGGGCATGGTTTCAAGACGTTCAAAAATCGAATTTTACTGCGAAGTGTCTCAACACTTTTGTCGCTCATTTGTATTTATATACAGGTGTACTTTTTTCATGCCACTAAAACATTATCATAAAAAAGGTGGTTTTGAGCTGAAACTAGGTACTGTGCACTTGAACAATTACCCTCCCCCTGGCTTTCCTTAAGCCCCCGGTGTAAAATACACTTCTTACCGGTGGTCCAGGCAGACCTTCAGGACCCTGCTCTCCTAAGCTACCATTGTTACCAGGGGAACCATCATTTCCGGGAGGACCAGGTTTTCCCTTTTTGCCACGGTCACCTACTTCACCTGGCGGACCTGGTGGTTGAAACAGTTCTTCTCTTGGACGCTTGCCACTCTCACCTTTTTCTCCAATATTCCCTTGGGGACCTGGAAAGCCCTTAGCACCCTAAAGAGGAGGACCAATAAGAACCCACAAGCTATATGTGACTATTAAATAACTGATATACTACGCATGGTCTGATTGATAAAAAAACCTATTGTTTATTGTACCAGTATACCGATGTGGCAGCAATGCAAGAGAACAATAGAACTCAGAAAGCTGCAGCTTACATTGGCTGAGATATCAAAAACAGGAATATCTTTTCAATTAACATATAAATAGAAATTTCTATGGAAAGTTGGTCACAATATAATGCTTGATGTTTTTCCCCAAGGGAAAAATTCTATGCCAAATCCATTTATGGTTCAGTTTAGAATGACGGTTTGTTGTATCACCTCATGAATTTGCTGATAATAAGTAACTTGATCATGAAAGGACAACGTTTCCTCTCTTTGATAAAAACTTTTTCCAGTTATTTTACGAAAGCAATAGATTGCTCTTTATATAGCCTTAGCGGAGCAATAAACCACTTAGGATGTTTCGAAAACAACACCCAATGGCTCACTATTTCTAAGCTTTTCTTGTGTTCTCACAACATCCTGCATGGGTTTATTGTGTTGGTGAACCCATAGAAAGAGCAGTCTATTGCTTAAGGAAGCCTTAGGATTTCAGTTTTCATGGTTGACACTTATTTGGTTTCATGTTCGGTGATCATAGGAAACAACTAATAAAGAAAAATGTCTGTGTTAAAATCTCACACCTGCTCTGGACACAAATAAAAGGAAAACAAAAATCCATTAGAAATAAAAAGGAAATGAAACAGATGCTAATTGCTTATGTAATGTGGCATACAGGTATCTTTTCTAGTCTAAACAACCAGTTCTCTGATTCCTCTCAAAATGAGTACAAAATTTTGTCTTCATCAAGTTTTGTGCTTCCTGGAATTTGCAGTGGATGTCATGTGAAATCAAACAGTCATACAAACCAATAGCCTGGGATGAAAAACAAGAGGTTAATTCACTGGTTCACCCTAGATCAGCCAGTCACCTGCCATCTTATATCCATTCCAGACTGCATTGTATATGCATTCTGGGATGGAAACAAGATGGCAGTTGACTGATATGATGAATGTTTAAGCTTTGTTTATAACCAGAGTCATTACAAAAGAATTGCTCTATTTGTTGACTATCATAGAGGAAAAACACTCATATGACACAAATTTTCACAAGTAAGGCTGAATTTGTCAATCAGAAATGGTTTTTCAGTACCATTATTTCTGAGACAGGGTAATGACCCGGTATCAGAATCAATTGTTGCATTGATAACCTAGGGCTTAATCACAAGTACCATGCACTTACCGGTGGTCCTGGTACACCAGCTGTGCCATCTGCTCCCCTTGTGCCAGTAGGCCCTTGAGGACCCTTGATCCCGTCTGGCCCAGGTTCTCCAGCATTTCCAGGCTCACCAGCATTGCCTTTTATTCCTTTAAAACCTTTTGGACCAGGACGGCAAACGGGACATTTATCTTTTTCTCCTTTTTCACCTTTTTCGCCCACTGGCCCTTGTTCTCCTGGTTCCCCAGTTGACCCTACAGGTCCTTGGCCACCAGGTTTAGGGGATGGACAAACATTCTCTAGGCAGAACACTGGACCAGCTACAAACAAGAAATTGAAAAGTTAAAATATGCTGTTGCCTAACCAATCCCTTAAACATGGTTGTCACAGACATCAGATGTAGTCACAATCTTCAACTTCCCTTACAGCCTTCCTTGTTAAGGAAAAGCATTGTTCAAATCACAGTCACTTGGACGTAATACATGAAACACGAGAGACAGCGTTTCATCGGGATATCCAAACACTGAGAAGAGAATACCACACGCAGTGGAGTATTTTTGACGAAATTTGAGGTGTTTGGATAGCCAATGAAACATTGTCTTGAGTGTTTGATATATCTTCTCAATCAAAACAAAAACTAAGGATTAAATGGAGAAGTAAAATCGTCAAAATCTATGCTAATTAAGATTGGGTATCCAAACCTTCTTCACGGTTGTGATTTTCTTTGTTTTTACTTGACAAATTATTAATGAGTTTGAGAATGTTCCTTCCAGCATTCAATGATAATATATCATGGCTGCCACAGACATCACTTATCAAAATTCCCTGACTTTTCTCTGACTTTCCCCTGGTAAAAATAAAATTTCCCTGACCAAATAAATATAAAATGACAAATAGAGTAGCAGCTTCTGGCCTCCCCTTACAACTGTCCTTTCCACTTGTTCATAAAACTGATAACTTTTCAACATATTTTCCTTCTTCATTAAGGTATCAGCATACCCCAAAATTGATCATTTTTCAAAAAAATTGTTTTTTGCTTTTTCAGATAGATCTTTTGAGAATCTTTCAATATGTCCCTTGGCTTTGCTGTATTTATTCTCTCACATCAGAAAACTACCGAATGGCTGACCATGTTTGAAATCACCCTATAACATATTGCAAACCCTTGATCATTGACTATGTCATGTATGCCTATGGAGTGTTCTCTTGTAATGAATGGTATCTGATTCAAAAGAAAGTTTATTGAGTAGAAACACTTCAAAAAGCACTTGCTATCAAATTTTATCATAGATCCTACTAAACTGCTTTACTTTCCTTGGTACCCTGATGCATTTTTTCCTTCTGTAGCTTTCAATAATATTTATTGGCCCCTTTCCTAAAAAAATTGGCCTGTAAAAAAGGTTTTCAGGGGCCACTTTGGCCCTCCCTCAAGCAAAATTTCTGGCTGGCTGGCTGGGTTTCTTGGTTTCAAGTTCCAACCCAACTGTCTTGCTAAGGACTTTCTGCAACCTTCTGTGTCAATATCTGGGGTGTTTTCTCCTACAGTTTTGGTATGTACTAAAACAAACATTCCCTTCAGAGTCTGTGGCTAGGGGAGGAAATACAGGTAATATCCAACAATGGACAGCACCGCTGGTAACAATTGTTTATTATTCCCACTAAAGTGAAATTTAAACAATTTATATCATTTTTGTTGATGGCACTGCATCAAAGAGCCTCTCCTGCAGTCTCCTATTAAAGATCTTTAAAGCTAAAATTCTTAACAAAGATAGATGAACGAATAGAAGAAACTTTGTTTACATTAATGTCACTATTCCACTTATTCAAACTAAGTGTAGGATGTAATGCAACGAGGTAAAAGTACATATACAAACAACAATATGGCATAATTGAGGGGGACAGCACTGTGGCAGGTTGGACATGACTTCATGATAGGCAAAGAAAAACTTCTCACTTATTCTCCCACTACATGGAAATAGAAGAAAAGTACTGGCAGAACCTTTCTTATCTCCCCAGCACTGCACAGGCTGGATCAGACACGATAAAGGCCAGGGTATAAGATGGTAAGACAAAAGATATGCCAAAAGCTTGGGGGAACCGAACCAGGAGTGACCACAGTCTATGGGCAAATGTGACCCTCCATGGAAAAACAGGGATAAAGGTGATTAAGCACACTAGCAACATGGTAACACAGCACGCTTAGTATGCATTAAAAAGAGACACTTCTAGGGCAACCCACTACAATCAACACATGCCTTTGTAATATTATACTTGTATCATGCATCTTTCTGTGAAATAAGCAGTGTACCTGTACCAACCCCAAAAATAATTAATAATCAACAGTGCTGCAGAAAATTTGATCCACAAATTCAGGACTGAAATTTGCTTGACAGTTAACAGTGAGTAATTAAATCAGGTGTAATGACAGCTATAACACAGCACTATTACCTTTAGGTCCTTGGGCTCCAACCTCTCCCTGTATTCCTTTGAAGCCTTTAGGTCCAGGAGGTCCATCCATGCCTTTTGGGCCAGGCACAGGGAGCCCATTCTCACCACGCTCTCCCACATCACCTACTGGTCCTTCTAAACCTTTTGGGCCTTCTTGGCCCTCCATACCTGGAAAACCTGAGGAAGGACAAAGCATGCTTACTGCAGAGTGAGAGAATCATACTTCTTGCTATTCGTCTTCTCTCTTGAGGAAGGACAAGGCATGTTTACTGAAGAGTGACAAATCACAATTCTTGCTTTTCTGTTTCTTTCCTCGGCAACAAACTAACATCTAACTTTATATGCCCTACAATAACAGTTTCATCACTTACAATAGCACTACAATACAAGTTTCACCCCCCTGGAGGCTCGCACCTTCAGTGCTTGTTTCCCCAACCACCTATTTCTTTTCCCCAGCCTGCGACTTCAAAACTTACTGAAAACACTGAGCAGGGCACGAGAGCAATACAACCAGTGACGTCACAAGGTTGTTTTTGGCTGTGCCAAGATGCCTCAACCAGCCAACTTCTAACAGCTGAAAACCAGCTTTAACTTACTGTTTGCAAAAAAAAAAAAAATTGCAGTGGTTTCAAGTAAGGTTCAAACTTTATTATCAAGCAAACGACTCCAAAATGAAAATTTCATTTCAGTGGCACTTTGAGTTGTTTTAATTTATCTTTTTTGAAATCAGTTTCGGAGTCATTCATATTTTTTTTTGTATCTCTTGCAATTGTCTTGCACATGCATGTTGCTATCCGCAGGTAGCAGTTTACAGTTTGAACCATAATAATTTTATATCAAAAGCGGCAGCTAGTTTTTTTTAGCAGTACACCAGAAAAAAAAAAGAAGTTGGTGGTTATAGTGATATGCTGCTATTCTGGTGTTCCTAGTTGTGGTAGGAAAATTTTGCTTCTATTTTAGTCTTGCAGGTGGTATAGTATACTTGATTTTGTCAGTTTCAACCCTACAGAGTGTGAGTAGCAGGTAGTCTGCCTGTCCATGGCTTGTATTATGTGCAGGACAAGACAAGCACTAGAAAAAGCACAGTAAATTGTACTATGACCACAGTACAGTGTTATGACCAAATTTTACCTTGTGTTCCCGGTGGCCCAAGAGGTCCTTCAGGTCCAGGAGCACCAACAGATCCTTTGGGACCAAAGACAGAAGCGCCTTGGTTACCAGGAGGGCCTATGTCACCTGTAGAGCCTTGAGGCCCACGGTCTCCAGGAGATCCGGCTGTACCTTTCATTCCTTGATTACCCTTCTTGCCTGGCAGTCCACCCTGCACACACAATCATATATGAACTATCTTAAAGGAGAAGGTCACTCCATAAACATACTTCACTAAATTTAGTTACTCACCGAGGTTTCATCCTCTAAAGTGCAAGTTTTCCCCAGATGACGTCAATCAATGAAAATCAATCACTGATTGCCAATCAATAAACATTAATTGATTGATATTGATTGATCTAACCAATCAAAACTAATTAATAGTCTCAATTGCTATTGAATATCCCTGACTTTTTATTCATATCAATAAATGGTTGCACAACAGTAAAAACCCGAGTTTGGCAGTGCACAGAAAGACTTACATTTCTGCATTATAATGCTACACTCAAACTGAATTGGTAAAATTCTCCAATGCATGGATAACAGATGCAAAAGAAAAAGTAAAGACATGCAAAAGAAATATGCTTAGATACCTGTTTATATCCATCTCAAATTGTAATGAAATGCTATGAAATCCCAGATTCAAAAGACACAGGTTCAACAACTCAGGAATGTGGCGTATTAGGGGCAACATTACAGTACAGCATATCCTACGAAAAGACTTAAGGTTCACAAAATCGGGATTCTGTGTGAACCCTTTCATTTCTAACAAAAAGCTCATGGGTGGACAATAAAAAAATTGAAAATAGATAAAGAAAAGAGTTTGTAAAAAATGATTTCCTTTTGAGATGTTGTTAGGTTATAGTTTCAAAACAGTTGAACATCATTATTTGCAGTCATTTAAAATTAGTTTATTCTATTTTAAGATCCTCTAGGGAGTTTCAAGTAACAAGATTAGACTGTATGTAAAGTATATATCAGAGCAAATAAACTTTATTTCAATATCATTTGACGTTTTGAATATCTTTGTGAAACGAAATGTTTAAGTCAAGACTAATACTTTTTAAAAAGGAAAAAGTAATTCACATTTAGTTTAACACACATTTAGAACATAGACTACTACAACACTTATTTGATTAAAAACACAGAAATGCGTACCAGCTGATGAGGTATATTGATGAAACTGTATCATTGTAACAGATGTAAATGTGCGTTGAAAGCAAATGCAATTGAGGGTTTTACTTATTAATATGGTTGACCTTTCATGTATTATACATTTAACTGAAATTTATCGAGAATTAAGAATGCAATGATAATCAATAGTAATCAATACTTGTTAATTAAAATCAGTATTAATAAATGAAAATCAATACTCAAAGTCAACTTTCAGTTACTGATTTTCACTGATTGATATTGTCGGGAGGTTTTCCTTATGAAATTCGTCTCCAAAGAAGCCCAAAATTTGACATTGTAGCTGCCATTTTTAACAGTACTCAGCAGCCATGCCACGTTTTTGTGACGTCATAGCGTCCAAGGGATTTTGTCCATAGGTTGAGCCATTTTTTTTTTTTGAGCCAAGCATGCTCCAAATCCCAAAAATGATAGCAGTGAAGATGGTGAAGTGGGTAATTTGTTGGAAAAATACATTTTGCAGCCCTTGTGAAGGATACCAAGTCAGTTGCAAGTTTGTCTGCTTCCTGCCAATTTCGAGTTAGACGGAATGACGTCACATAAACATGGCCTGGTTCCCAAGCAATTTTAAAATGGCAGCAACCAAAGTCAAATTTTGGGCTTCTTTTAAGACAGATTTCTTCAGGACAGCAGGCACTTTAAAGGCTGAAACTCTGGTGAGTGGAAAAACCCAATGTTTACGTGCCATAGGTGGAGACAAAAAAAGTAGGCTTTTTGGGGTGACCTTCTCATTTAAGACTTTCTGCACTATGTTCAACATACAAGAATGGTACAACTTGTCACTGTAAACTCACAGCCTGAACCATCCATGGAAATATTTAAATCAGTAGTTGATAGCAGCTAGGCCCTTACAATACAAATAGTAAAAGCAGTGGGCAGTCCATTGGCAATCTGCTAAAGGTTCTTCATCACCGCTTGGCAACTTTGAAATTAAAATAACAGGGTCAGTCCAGTCTTGGAGACTGGCATTCACCATAAGCTGGTAAGTTTTTCCCTAACTGAGAAAAATATGGAAAGCAGTGATGCCATGCATATAAATTATCTGAAAATAAACATACTCCTCTCTCTCCGACTGAACCAATTGAGCCTGGATTTCCACGATTACCCCTTGCTCCCTAAAGAAATATTAAAAAATAAACTGAATAATTGTTTGAAAGAAAATTTGCCCTTAGTGAGATTTGAACCCACATTCCCCCGCATACCAGTCGGGTATGAAATAAATACTTCTGTCTTGTTAGTACTAAAACACAGGACAACACTTTTTTGTCACATTACATATCACTAATGCTTTTTAGAAAACAGTCCTAAGGAAATACGCACACTGATTGGTTAAAAATCTCGTTTCTATAACTTGATAGAAACACAGAACTAGCATGAGCTGTTGACGTAATGATGGCAGAAGCAAAGAGAATTTACGATCTGATAACCAAAGTTAACAAGTTGTTTTCCTTTTTTGTCGCGGTGTTTTCTAAAAGAAATAGAAGACATGTTCTCCGTGTTTCTATTGAGTTATAGAAACACTCCTGAAAGTTTGGGAGAACTTGAAAAAGCTGTGAAAACACTCGCCTGCGGCTCGTGTTCCCACAGCATTTCTTGCTCTCCCAAACTTCCACTCGTGTTTCTATAACTCAATAGAAACATGGCATATGTTTTCTATTTCTTAAATGTTTATTATACATCCATGCAACTACTGCAAACCGGGCAACTCAATAGTTTCAAATCCAAAACAACACAAGTTTCTTATACAGCAGTGTGATTAATAGTTGCTGGAGCACACAATTTTTCCGACTGGAATTTGGCAACAAACATTGAACAAAATAATTTCAATGATCTCCATACTGATGCTTTACACATTTTAAACATGCAAACAACATTGAATGACCATTGCTAATGTATTTTCATAAATGTGCACCAGACCTAGAGTGATTTAATGAGTGAAGGGGCCTAAAAATGGTCTGTGAATAATTGCCAGACCTGTGTGGATGAGAAAATTAATATGCACTCACACTTGTCAACTGTATATTAACAGATGTTAAGTATCAGTACTTGAAAAGTGTAGAGCTAAAAATCAATACAGGTACCTTAAATCCTCAAATTAGCACCCCCTTCGAATAAGCGCCCCTCCTGTCGGCTGCAATTTAAAATAAGCACCCTCCCCCCTCGAATAAGCCCCCCCTCCCCTCCCCCTATTTTGTGGACGAGTAATGAGACAACAAAGGATGTATAGTTTTCTGTCATGTAGTATTAGATTTGTACATTGTTTCAGTTTGTGAACACGTTTAGTGAATATGTTGAACACATTGAACACATTAAGTACTAATGGTGCCGTGATTTGAACTTTAAGATCAGCTTTTACGTCAATAAACAGCTTATGTTGGTGTTTTCGCGCAGATAATGTATTAAAAAAGTGATCATGTCAGGCCACAATTTGGGAAAAATTAAATAAGCGCCCCTCCTTGATTAAGCGCCCCCCTCAAATAAGCGCCCCCTGTCTTCTCCTAAATTTGAAATAAGCGCCCCGGGCGCTAATTCGAGGATTAATGGTAAACTATAAATAATCAAAACAAATAATGTCAAAACTATTATCAACTTGCCTGCTGGCCAGTAGCTCCTCTTTCACCTTTGATGCCAACTGGACCAGAATTCCCCTAAGATATTAAAACAACTAATGAGCGCTCTCAGGTAACATGCACTTTTATGTGGCTGGCAACAATTTCCAGCACTTTGATGTGAATATCACAACTCTTTATCAACTGATGTTACCCTATCACACAATTCATGCCCAACCATTGTTAAACAATTTGATGACATAATGGGTTACCATAGCAACAACAGAACTTATTTGAAACCTCCTTATTTTGGCTTTCAGTATTTATATTCAAAAACGTCTCTTCCAAATAATGAAAATAAAATATTAAAACGTGTGCGAGTTATTGGGAAAAATAGATCTTTTTAAAAAATGTTAATAAACTGTCAAGGTGTCCTAATCCCCAAAAGGCATGCACTCCTCAACGACCTTTTTGTGGCAAACAACTTAATCCAGAGATCATACAGAGGAACCCCACCTTACAGCGACCTTGTTATTACGGCCACTTTATTCTGGCCTGACCAAAAACTTGGTCAGTCATTTTCTTATTTTAAAGAACCCCATAAATACAACGCCCCCATTAATATGTCTAGATTTTTTGGCGGCCTCTAATGCACCACATTATGTGAATTTAAAGATAGTGGAACTTGACAGATCTATAAAAAGATAACCAATACAAATAAAAGAAAATGCTGAGAGATTGATGCTTTTTGATTAACACTGTACGCTATTTTGCATCCATGTTTGCATTCGATTAATCTGCCGGAATGTCAGTTGGTCATTCTGCCGCATTGGGAAAGCAATCGGCAAGACAATATAATTTTATCGAATTCTTCATTTCATAGCCTTTATATTGACACATAGTCTGAGGGGGTTTCCTTGAAAACAGTGTGGGTACAAATTTTCATTCTGGAGGACAGCGAAGGTTTGGAGTAACCTTAAGTTGACGTCACTTTAAAACCAGCGTATTTCTTGAATCACATAACACAGCAGGACCTATCTGCTTGAGGACCATTAAGTTATACATCCTTACAAGTCACTTCTATCTTTTGGACATACCTTTGCACCAAAATTCCCTTCATCTCCTTCCAATCCACGATTTCCCTGGCAAGCAAATCATTGACAGGCTTTATATTGAGACATTATTATCAAAACATTCTCTTTTATTGACTAAGCAGCAATAATATGAACTCAATAACAACTGAGAGGGCTAAACAGGAACATGTTTGGCTAAACGTCCATGCAAAATGGTGAAGAGGTAGATACTTTCTCCTCCTGTCTAACCAAACCCACTCACTCAATATACACACCACTTTTACTAAGTTTGATTTTGTTGGAAATGTGTGAAATGCCTTGCTAAATGTTAACTGCACGCAAGGCCAAAGGCTGGATGCAGGTAAGAACTTCAACATCTATGTCACACATATAATTGATACAAAGATTGTGTATTGTGTTAATGGTAAGTGTAAGTGGTTTCTTCCCAACAGTTTTTTGTTTGCATGGATAATTATTGTATCACAATTTGACAACTTGCATCAACCACAACTTACCATTGAACCCTTTTCACCTTGCTCACCAACAGCTCCTTTGTCTCCTGGGGGTCCTGGCCTACCTCTACCAGTGGCATCTTCACCACGCTGGCCTTTTGGTCCCTCGGACCCCTGCATGATTGAGAATTATACAGGAAATAATCATCGTCACCAGGGGCCTGTTTCTCAAAGGTCCTGAAATGTTTTTGCACCCGGAAAGCCGTAGCAAAATCTCAAACCTTATAATTACAGAACTGTTTTATTGACATATTCTTTTATGAACAGAAGTTCTCTTCATACAAGAAGTTTCAGACATATACACCTCAGTGTTTTTAGATAAAGATTAACTAAAAATAGCTTTACAGGCCTGAAAAGTTTCTGAGGTTTCCGAGAAAGGGGCCCCAGTGCACTTACCCGCAGCACAATACCCAGCCAAACTGCTCTGAATTCATCAACAAATGTGTCAGCAGCATGTGAATTTGAAACACATATTGTATTTAGAAATCAGTGGTGGAATTTGCAATCAGTTTTCACATCTGTCACAGAATTGGCCACCTGAGGTGATCAATGCCTTTTCTTTCAAAATCAGGTGCTTAAAAGATTAATTCAGCTATCATAACAGAACCTTTAACTCAATCACTGTTAAGTTGTTTGGGACAACTATGCCACCACTTTTCACATGAAAAGGACCCATCACTTCTCACTTGTATTCCAGCATAATGCCAGATTCTCTTGCCTAATTATGATGCTTGAAATAAGGTCAGGATAGTCTGTAAAAACCTTATACCAAATAAGACTTAGTCTGTCTCCGACACTACTCGGCTATTGCAATTTCAGCTAGAACATGTCACTTAATTTAAAAGGGAGCTTTCCACAACCATAGACATAGGCGATAAAAAAAAAATTAACATTCAAAATGTACTTACATCAGGTCCTGGGTCACCTTTTTTTCCTTCAAACTAAAAAAGCAAACAACGTTGTCAGATAATTACCTTGCTAAGTAGCATAGGGAACACAGCGGTGGGAATTGAAGATGGAAGATAATTTCCCAAGCTGTTTTAACAAAATAAATTGCACATGAACGCAGTTTTAGATTGGCTCAGGTCATTGATGACTTATATGCTCTGAGTTAATACATTTTTTCCTACAGCAAGCTTTCAAGGTGATGACATCTTATTGGCTCAATATGGATCACCTTCCCTCAGCTAATTGATGAAGGTTATGTCAGGTTTATGTCATACGTTAGTATGACAGTGTATTTGACTTTCATTCAGTACATTAGTACATACGACTGTATATTTTACTTTCAATCAGTACATTAGTCTGACTGTATATCTCAATTTCCAGCAGAGCAGAGTAGAGTAGAGAAGATTATACTGTAGAGTAGTGTAGAGTAGAGTAGAGTAGAGTAGAGTAGAGTGGTGTGGTGTGGTGTGGTGTGGAGTGGAGTGGAGTGGAGTGGAGTGGCGTGGCGTGGCGTGGCGTGGCGTGGCGTGGCGTGGCGTGGCGTGGCG